AAATTCAAACCTTCCTGAGACTTTCTTCGCCCTTTAGTGAATATGATCTTCAGTTTTACTCTGTTGTTTATAGTACCATACATGCTACACTAATGCTTCATGATAACCTGTGAAGGAAGGTCAATTAAGCAAGAGCTGTCATTATTATAATACCTTGCATACTATATATTACATATTAGACACAGAAATAATTTGGACAATACATTCAGAATTTCTTAAATGAGCTTGAGAAAAACCCTTTCCTTGTCAGTTCACTGTAAGTAACTTAGGAAGAAGGCAACCAATGAAGCCTTTGTAAAGTAAAGCCATTCTGTGAAGGACCCTTTGGAAAGAACAACTATGCAGCTGCACTGCCAACAATGTCTTCCTCATGCATTCTCTTCTTCACCAGCTCAAAGGCTGCTCCTCTTCCTGCATTGCTCCTTCTCTTCCTTCAGTCAAATTACTCCTCCTCTTGGGTTACATGCACACTCAGGTCTTGTTACTGAACACATAATGCTTCTGTTTGCATGACTGTGATGCCAGCATATCCACTGTGTTGCCTTCTTCCTTCTGGTCACTCAGACTCCTGTTTATGGATCCAGTTCCAACGTTGTTTTTCCATTCAATGTCTCCTTCCTTCCTTCCTTCCTTCCTTCCTTCCTTCCTTCCTTCCTTCCTTCCTTCCTTCCTTCCTTCCTTCCCTTTTCTTTCTTTCCTTCTCCTGAGGATTCATGTGTTGTCTAAGTCTATTGAGACTACTATAACTAAATGTCATAAACTGGTAGGCTTATAAAACATGGAAATTTAGTTCTCACAGTTCTGAAGCTGAAAGTACAAAATCAAGGTGCCAGAAGTCTCCAGGTCTGATAAGGGTCTACTTCCTCATTGACAGCCAACTTTCCTACTCAGTAGCAGATGACTTCTTAGGCCTCCTTTGTAAGAATGATGAAGTCTGCATTCCCATAACCTCTTACTCCTCTAGGAGAGACAATGTCAGCACAAGAATTAGAGAGGATATAAGCAGTAAGACAATATTCCATGATGATTAATTGATTACATGTCTGCTTCTTTCTCCAAATGCTAAGTGTCTTGAGCTCATGAGCTTGGTGCACACCATACAAATGTTTGTAGCTAAAGTTTTCCTGGTTCTGTTCAGGTCCTGTGGCCCTGCAGCTGGCCACTTGGACCCAAGTAAACACACAGAGACTTATATTACTTATAAACTGTATGGCCGTGGAAGGCTTCTTGCTATCTGTTCTTATATCTTAAATTAACGCATTTCTATTAATCTATAAGTTACCACAGGGTTTGTGGCTTACCAATACTTTTGCATCTCACTTCTTCTGTTTCTGGCTGGCGACTCCTCTGACTCAGCCTTCCTGTTCCCAGAATTCTCCTCTCTGCTTATCCCGCCTATACTATACTTCCTGCCTGCCTACTGGCCAATCAGCATTTTATTTATCAATCAATCAGAGCAACACATTCACAGCAAATAGAAAGACATCCCAAGCATATGTTATCACAGTTCTTAGAACTCTGAGAGCCCTGTTGGTTAAAGAAATGAATAAACACAGAGCTGATATTTTCTACCTGCCATCAGAGTGCTATCTGATGGGTCTGTTGATATCAGTTATACCTGGTGATGTCACATTATTGGCTCTGAAGGGATGTTCTAATAAGTCAGCATTATAATTACCTGAGATTGCTTTTCATGTCTCTCTTCACATACCTTTTGAAATATTTGTTACAAGTGAGGAGAGGGAAAGAACTTGGCTTTTTCCTTTGAATAATAACCCAAACCAGTAGGCATCATGCACACTTCCTTCTCAAAAACATTTAAGATTCACAAATTAAGAGGGCATGTTCACAGGGTGTGGTGGCACATGACTTTAATCCCAGCACTTGTGAGGCAGAGACAGGCAGGTCTCTATAAGTCCAGGCCAGCCTGGTCTACAGAGCAAGTTCCAGAACAGCCAGGGCTACACAGAGAAACCCTGTCTTGAAAAACAAATAGAAAAAAAAAGAAAAGAAAGAAAAAAGGGGGTATGTTTATATTATTGCTTGACAATGAGAGAGAAATTTATGGCATATGTATATTCTACATTTCTGAAAAACTAGTAATTCTCTACGATTTGGTAGAATAAGTGACTTCATTGCACATATCTTTTCAGAGAAACTTTTAATGTTATAGCCACAAATTTTCTGCTTTTTTGCTCATTCAAAATGCCTTCATTATGTATTTTTAAATTTTCAGATATGTTAGTATTCATGAAATTCAAAAGCGAAAATAGCAACATCCGAAAAGCACAATGTATCTATTTCCTCTGAAATGAAATTTCAAACATGACGGCTAGTCATAATTGACTTTGCTGCATAAGGGCACGTTGCTGATCAACAAACCGGCATTTCCAGCTTAGGGTAAACCTGTAAAGAACGTGGTTGTGAACGATGTTCTCACATCTGTCTATGACTTTCATAAACAGCCCTCATCTTGTAAGAGTCTTAGCTTTTTGGTGTTGAAGCTATGATTCATTGGACCTTTAGATTTGTTCAAGAAAATTAGCTTAAAGTTTTGTCTATGGTACCTGTGTGTTCTCAGGGCACATCTTTCCACTTTAATGCACCACTGACCTGCTTCTATTATCTTTATAATTTAAAGGGGTCAAAAATTAGCTATTTCCTAATCAGTAACCTCAAAGCATTAGCTTAGCAGCTCAGTTCCTGTCCCTGTCTCCAGACAATGTTTGAGGAATGGACTTTTCTACAGCATAGTTTTTTTGTTTTTTGTTTTTTCCCTCTATTCTTAAAAATGACTTTGAGCCGGGCGGTGGTGGCGCACGCCTTTAATCCCAGCACTTGGGAGGCAGAGCCAGGCGGATCTTTGTGAGTTCGAGGCCAGCCTGGTTTACAGAGCGAGATCCAGGACAGGCGCAAAGCTACACAGAGAAACCCTGTCTCGAAAAACCAAAAAATAAAAAAAATAAATAAAAGACTTTGAAATCAACTGTTGAACTAAACTTTAGGTTTGTCTTCTATTTAAATGCATCCCATATAGATTATGGGGCAGGGCTAGGGTATATCATGCAACCTCCTCATCAACTGTAATTCATAAGAAAAGCCCTTTTACTGGCTGCCAACAACTGAGGACCTTGACATACCAAGGTATGAGGGATCACAGATCTAGAGTGAGCTTGGACCTGGCAGGAATACAGTGTGCATTCCAGGTTGGCAAAAGAAGCAGTTTACAGTTGCAAGGCAAAGAGCAGCTCTTGTTACCAAAGAACAGTTGGGAAGGTTGGTAAATGTGTGATAAAAGCATCCCCAAATGCAACACTCCACTCTGTGTGTGTGTGTGTGTGTGTGTGTGTGTGTGTGTGTGTGTGTGTGTGTGTGTGTGTATCTGTCTGTCTGTCTCTTTCCTTCCCAAACCCTTTCTTTCATTTTCTTCCTTTCTCTTTCTCTAAAATTTGAGGCACTTCACTGTTCTGAAACCCCTTGCCCCTTGTTAAATGGCAAGCCAGTGAAATTCTCTGCAGCACCATAGTACTGATCCAACACTCCAATCGCAGTTGAATTTAGGATGCCGAAGTATGTGGTGGTTTGAATCAGCATTACCATACAAGGCAGCTTTGAATTCCTCATGGTAACCTTTTATTACTGTTTTTAAGTCTCCAAGCACTGCCAAACATCTTGAGCTTTGTGGAATGATTATAAACTTTATAAAGATAAACCTTTGATTCCACTTCGAAATGCTGCTGCAGCATGCCAAAATTATATAAAATTGCATATATTTCAAAATCAAAGACCTGTAAAACTATTTGGATTGTTCAGTCTTAGAAAAAAATGTTGGTGCCATTGGGCAATTGATGAACGGGCATCACTGCCACAGTCGTGCGGGCTTTCAGATTTAAAAAAAAAAAAAAATGGCAACTCCAACGGAACTGCTTGGGCTGCAGAGCTAGCTTGCAGTCCAGGCTGGCTTCTTTCAGATTCCTTGGATATTTAGAAAACTTCCCGTTTACAATCTCTGAAACATTTGTTAGAAACACTTCATAATTCGAGTGTTTTCCTTGGCACCTCAGCAGAGGGCTTCTTGCTTTCAGCTCACAATCAGAGGAGTTTTGCTGGAATGGCAAGCATTCTGTCTGTAGCAAGCTGCTGGCCTCCCCACCAGGAATGAACCCACAGTGCAGCAAATCCTCAAGGATGTGGACTTTCCCCATGAGGGCCGGTTAAAGGTTCTTAGAGGAGACTGTTGATGAGAGAGAAATGAGCAAACCCCACTGCTTTTACGTGGTGCTGACACAGTGTTCTTCTGTAGTGTCTGTGAAAGGGATGAAGTTGGCCATGGATGCTCAGCAAGCCACTATGGCATGGTAAGCAGGGCTCAGGCTTTGGGGCCTGGTTGCTACAGTCCCAATTCTAGCCATTTAGTTTGCAGGCCTGGCTGTGGCCAAATGGTATCATCCCTTTATCCCCAGTTACTTTCTTGTAAAAGGATTTGACGAAAAGACTTATCTCAAAGCCTTCTTGTGAGGATTAAGTGGTCAGTTCAAAGAACAATCTGGAACTTCTGCTCAAAAGAACATTAAGGCAATTTCAGAAAGGAAAGAAAGACTTAAAGTGAACTTCGTTCATGAAAAGTTTTGGTCAAATTTGCTTTCACAGGATATACCAAGCTCCAAATCACACACACACACACACACACACACACACACACACACACACACGTGCCAATGTAGACATGCCCACACTTGCATACACACTAGTACAAACACATATACAAATGCATGTACCCAGGCACATGTACACACATGTGTTCATACATACAGGCATACATATGCATGAACATACACACACACACATGCGTAGATGCATACACACAAGTACAGAGACACACAACCACCTGCACCCACGTATACGTTTACAAATACACACATGGGCAAATATGCACATAAGTACATACAAAAGTCATTCTAATGCTATTCATGCACCCTTTGTTAAAATCTCTAAGTCTTGTGCTCACTTTGGCAGCACATAACTAAAATTGAAATAATACAAGGAAGATTAGCACGGCCCCTGCGTGAGGAGGACAAGCAAATTCATAAAGCGTCCCATATTTTTTAAAATCTAAAAGAAATGGACAATTTCTAAATAGATACCACTTACCAGAGTCAAAACAAGATCAGATAAACAATTTAAACCGACCTATAACCCCCAAGACAATAGAAGCAGTCATTAAAAGTCTCCCAACCGATGAAAGCCCCAGGGCCAAACGGTTTTAGCTCAGAATTCTACCAGAATTTCAAAAAAGAGCTAATACCAACACTCCTCAAATTACGCCACAAAATAGAAACAGAAGGAACATCGCCAAATTCTTTTTATGAGGCCACAATTACCTTGATACCCAAACCACGCAAAGGCTCAACAAAGAAAGAGAATTACAGACCAACTTCCCTCATGAACATCGATGCAAAAATACTCAATAAAATACTGGCAGATTGAATCCAAGAACACATTAAAAAAAATCATTCACCATGATCAAGTAGGCTTCATCCCAGAGATGCAGGGATGGCTCAGTTTACAACAAACAAACAAACAAACAAACAAATAAATAAATAAATAAACTGTCAATATAATCCATCATATAAACAAACTGAAAAAAAAAAGTATGATCATCTCACTAGATGCTGAAAAAGCCTTTGAAAAAAAACCAGCACCCCTTCATGATAAAGGTCTTGGAGAGATCAGGGATACAAGGGACATACCTAAACCTAACAGAGGCAATTTACAGCAAGCTAATATCAAATTAAATGGAGAGAAACTTAAAGCAATTCCAAATCAGGAATAAGACAAGACAATAAGACAAGTATTGTCCACTCTCCCCATATCTATTCAATATAGTACTTGAAGTTTTAGTTAGAGCAGTAAAACATCTAAAGGAGATCAAGGGGATACAAATTGGAAAGGAAGAAGTCCAAGTATTGCTATTTGCAGATGATAGGATAATATACATAAGTGACCCCAAAAATTCTACTGGAGAACTCTTACAGTTAATAAACACCTTTAGCAAAGAAGCTGGATACAAAATTATCTTAAAAAAATCAGTAGCCCGCCGGGCAGTGGTGGCACACGTCTTTAATCCCAGCAGTCAGGAGGCAGAGCCAGGGAGATCTCTGTGAGTTTGAGGCCAGCCTGGTCTACAGAGCAAGATCCAGGACAGGCACCAAAACTACACAGAGAAACCTTGTCTCGAAAAACAAAAACAAAAACAAACAAAAAAAATCAGTACCCTACTATACACAAACAATAAATGGGTTGAGAAAAAATATCAACACCCTTCACGATAGCCACAAACAATATAAAATATCTTAGGTTAACTCTAACCAAGCAAGTGAAAGACCTGTATGACAAGAACTTCGTCTTTGAAGAAAGAAATTAGAAAAGATATCAGAAGATGGAAAGATTGTCCCATACTCATAGATCCATAGGGTTAATAAAGAAAAAATGACCATATTACCAAAAGCAATCTGCAGATTCAATACTGTTGTTGGTTGTGTTTTTATTCTTATACTCTTTGAGGGGCCTGCCACCCAGCTCCCAAATAATCACATGGAGTCTTATTCTTACTTATGAATGCCCAGCGTTAGCTTGGATTATTTTTAGCCAGCTTTTCTTAACTTAAATTATCCTATCTATCTTTTGCCTCTGGGCTTTTGTCTTTCTCTATGCTAAATACCTTTCTTTACTTCTTACTCCATGGTTGGCTATATAGCTGTGTAGCTGGGTGGCTGGCCCCTGATGATCTCCTCTCCTTCTCCTTTTATGCCCTGAACTTCTCTTCCCAGATTTGTTTTCCTATTTATTCTCTCTACCTGCCAGCCCTGCCTATCTTTTCTCCTGCCTGACTATTGGCTGTTAAACTCTTTATTAGTTCAATCAGGTGTTTTATACAGGCAAAGTAATGTCACTTCACAGAGTTAAACAAATGCAACATAAAAGAATGCAACCCATCTTTGCATCATTAAACAAATGTTCCACAACATAAACAAATGTAATATATGTTCAACTAATATAACATAAAATATTACAATTCCCATCAAAATTTCATCACATTTCTTTACAGACCTTGAAAGAACAATACTCAACTTCATATGGAAAAACAAAAAACCCACGACAGCTAAAATGGTCCTATACAATAAAAGAACTGGAGGTCTCATCATCTGCCATCCTCTGTTTTAAGTTGCAATAGTAATAAAAACTATATGGTATTGGCATAAAATAGACAGGTTGATCAATGGAATTGAGTTGAACACCCAAGTGTAAATCCACACACCTATGGACACCTGATTTTTGACAAAGAAGCCAAAATTATACAACATAAAAAAGAAAATATCTTCAACAAATGGTGCTGGTCTAATTGGATACCAGCATGTCGAAGAATGCAAATGAATCCATATCTATCACTCTTTACAAAACTCAAGTCCGAGTGGATCAAATACCTCGACATACATCCAGTTACACTGAACCTGATAGAAAAGAAAGTGGGGAATAGCCTCTAATGCATTGGCACAGGAGACACCTTCCTGAACAGAACACCAATCATGCAGGCACTAAGATTGACAGTTAATAAATGGGACCTCATGAAACTGAAGAGCTTTTGTATGGCAAAAGACATTATCAAATGGACAAAATGACAGCCTACAGAATGGGAAAAGGTCTTCACCAAACCCACATCTGACAGAAGTCTGATATCTAAAATACATAAAGAACTCAAGAAACTAGACATCAAAAAACCAAATAAGCCAGTTTAAAAATGGAGTACAGATCTAAACAGAGAATTCTTAGGAATCTCAAATGGATGAGAAGCACTTAAGGAGATGTTCAGCATCTTTAGCCATCAGAGAAATGCAAATCAAAATGACTCTGAGATTCCATCTTATATCTTTCAGAATGGCTAAGAGCAAAACCACAAATGACAGCTCATGCTGGCCAGGATATGGAGCAAAGAGAACACTCCTCCATTGCTGGTGGGAGTACAAACATGTATAGCCACTTTGGAAGTAAATAATGTAGGTTTCTCAGAAAACTTGGAATTGATCTACCTCAAGACCTAGCTATACCACTCTTGGACATATACCCAAAAGATGCTCCATCATACCACAAGGACTCTTGCTCAGCTATGTTCATAGCAGCTTTATTCATTGTCTTAGGGTTTCTATTGCCACTACAAAACACCATAAACAAAAGCAACTTGGGAAAGAAATGTTTTATTTAGCTTATACTTCCATACTGCTATTCATCATGGAAGGAAGTCAAGGACAAAAATTCAAACAGGGGAGGAACCTGGAGGCAGAAGCTGAATCACAGGCCATGGAGGGGAGCTGCTTACTGGCTTGCTTCTCCTGGCTTGTTCAGCCTGCTTTCTTATAAAACCCAGAATCACTATCCCAGGGATAGCACCACCCACCAAGGGCTGGGTTCTCCCCCTTTGATTACTAATTGAGAAAATAACTTACAGCTGGATCTCATGGAGGCATTCTCTTAACTGAGGCTCCTTTCTCTCTGATGACTCTAGCTTGTGTCAAGTTGACAAACAAAATCAGCCAGTACTACTGTGGGATGGTCTTTATGTCAAATGTGTTGCTGATTGGTCAATAAATAAATCACTGATTGGCCCGTGGCCAGGCAGGAAGTATAGGCGGGACAAGGAGGAGAATAGAGCTGGGAAGTGGAAGGCTCAGAGAAGAGACACTGCCAGCCGCCATCAGGATAAGGAAGATGTAAAGTACCGGTAAGCCACAAGCCACGTGGCAAGGTATAGATTAATAGAAATGGATTAATTTAAGCTGTAAGAACAGTTAACAAGAAGCCTGCCACGGCCATACAGTTTGTAACCAATATAAGTGTCTCTGTTTACTTGATCGGGTTTGAGCGGCTTGGGACTGGCGGGTGAGAGAGATTTGTCCTGACTGTGGGCCAGGCAGGAAAACTCTAGCAACAAATGGCGTCCAACGTGGTGGCAAGAGTTTCCACCTAAAACCTGAGAAAAAAGATTCTAAAACGGAGCTAAAAACAGTTCCTAATTGTTTCTCTCAAATGAGCGGCCGCTGCCGGTTTGAGCTACTGGCGGGTTCCTAACGTGTGCGCTCGACCTGTGGTATGGCAGGAATGAGGCTTCTGCAAGTGGCACATTAAGCTGCTTGATGGATTTAGCCTTTGTTAGTACAAAACAAAAAAAAAAAAAAAGAGGTTTCTGGGCTACATGCTGCTTGGATAAAAGCATAGACCCACGATAGCTCCCAGAGCTGGTGGTAAAGTACCACGCCATGTTCGGAAGCTGCGGTGGGCGGAGCCAGCAGCCACAGTTGCTGCAGCTTAAAGCAATAGATTCACAATAAGACAGATTCAGATGTAATAGTTTAAAATGTGTGTAAAATATACGTAGGCTTGAAAGAGACAAAAAAAGGTGATATATACAGTATAGAAACAAATACATGGTTTTAAAAAATAAAGTCTTTAAAGAGACAGTAAAATTAATATAAAAAATAAGCCACGTAGAGATGACTATTACACAGAGAGTCTGGATTGTGTTGTCTTTGGGATTCTTAACTACAGAGAGATATTTGATTGTAAAGGAAGCTGAGTTAAACCAGTATGTATATTTTAAAGATACTTTGACTTCAAAATTTGGATATAAGGATATGTTGCTTTGGAAAGGAGATTCTGCTTTTGTTCCCACAGAAAGCCAGAGGCTATGGATTTGTTCCAGATTAAGACACATCAGGTTTGACCAGCCAAGACCCCCTGAAAGGTCTCCGATGACACCATGGCCCAGATGATCCAACATCCAGAACTGTTTCAAGACAACTGGCTCAGATGATACAGCCTCACGGACTACTCCATGATCCTAAAATTTTCTTTGTTTCCCCAGAAGATACAGCGCCCCCCTCCAGCAGGAAGTAGTAAGAGAAGCTACGCCCAAATTCCCAAATATACCAAGTTGACTTTGGAGATGTGTAAAGGTTAAAACCTTCCTTTTTAAGAAAAGAAAAGGGGAAGTACTGTGGGATGGTCTTTATGTCAAATGTGTTGCTGATTGGTCAATAAATAAATCACTGATT